GGGCTCTTTCTCAAGGATTCTTAGTTCTGGGGGGAGCCTTGTCAGTGCTCTCCCTCCCTGGGGGGCTCAGTCTGAGTGCTGTCGGTTACGGCTACTCCTATCCACTGCTACATTAATTGTAGTTCTCCCTCTTTATTGGGTTGTCGGGAAAGTCATGACGCATTTCTGCATAGAAATGACTTTGTCATAGAAATGACGTCATGACCTTCCCAACAACCTACTAACTGCCAGAGGGAGACAGAGGCGGAGAAAGAAAGGGAGAGGGAGAAAGCACCCCTCAGTGGGGAGTGGTCATGTCACATCTTTTCTCCTCCATTTCTCTGTCCTGTTGAGATTTTGTGTGTGTGTATGTGTGTGTGCGTGCGTGCACACACACATACACACACACAGTTCTTGTGTGTTTTTCAAGCTGCCAGGTCTGGTATTCAAACCATGTTCAGCCATGTGGAATCCAGCTTGCTTAACCACTAGGCCACGGGCTGACCAAATTACAGTCCTCCTTCCTCTTATTAGTCATTGCCTCGTCAGTTCAACCCCCACGGTGAGCGAGTAGCTTCCTATGACTCTGCCCGGGAAGATCACCGAGTGGTTTCCTTGCAGTGCACAGTGCAGGCCAACAGCTTCCCCAGCACCCCAGGAGGCAGAATTGGTGTCTGGAGCGGTGGCAGAGGTGGATCTGCCTGGGTGGACTCTGGGGATGGTTTTCTGGTGCCTTTGTGCCTGAGTGTGGTGTTGAGCTCCTGCCAGCAAGAAATGGGTGGTCAGGGGCATTCCAGTTCATGGCAGTGGCCTGCAGGTGATCGAGAGGATGTGTGGACTCAGGCCTGTCCCTGGGGAGCCCGACGGCTGTGGCAATAATGGTGACTGAAGGATGCTGTGGCAATAATGGTGACTGAAGGATGGGGCGGGGGAGGGGTGGTGGTGGTGATTCGAGGGCTCTTAAGCACTTGCAAAAGTGACAAGTTCAGGTCTGTTAAGGCTCACCTCAACTCACATCTGAGAAGCAGAGATTTTCCATGATAGCCTTTAAGGCAGCTCTTATTTCTTGCAGCCACAGGGCTGGCATTGTTGAAAAGCAAATTTAATTGTGCTGGTTGCTGAATTACAATTGAATTCACATCTCAACAAGTTTCTTATGTGAAAATTAGGACATTAACCAAGAAAGAACGGCCTCCTGGGGCAGACAGTGGTGCAGAGCGGTGCGACTGGACGCGGGCGGTCCCCGGCTCACAGCCCGCGGCTCCCTGTGCCGCGTCCGTGCGCATGTGTGTGTGCCGTGATCTGGGCCGGCTGAGGCTGCAGTGGATCCCAGTGGGAGCACTCTGCTGGGGGTGCCTTTCTCTCTCTGGCTTTCTCTCTTTTCTTCATGGGAAAAAGAAACTAAAAAGAAAAAAGAGGACAGATGTCTAAAAAATAAAGAATAGGGTCTTGAAACATGGAATGGGTGAATCTGTTCAATGAAGATGAAACTGACCATCTTTTTGTTTAAATTGCCAGAGGGCATATGCGCTTGCCTGAGAGAGACAGAGACACGTGTGTGAGTGCCCACGGTCCCAAGAGGAGAATGGAGAAGGGACAGTGCTGTGGCCATCCCCCCCAGGGGATGATTTCTCATTTTCTATCCCTGTCTCTCTCTCTGTCTCTCTGGTCAGCGCACACACCCTATAACAAAAATCTCTCTACAAAAATCCCCCAAACCAAAAAAACCCATGTGATCATCTCAGCTGGAGTTAATGCCTTGATTGGACATGCCCATTCTCAAGACTCACGCAAGCACCCTATTGTCATGTGTCCCTTGCTAGAGCAAATCCCAGCACGTGCCATGGTGACGGCTGCTCACTGGGGCCTAGCAGGCAACACTGGCGGAAGTACAGGACTTTGCTAATATGTACCAGAAACCTAGGTGACACGTGAGTGGGCCCTGAGGGGTTTAGTTCAAGAGGGACAGACAATAGCACTGGACTGGGCTGAATTCACTGATGGTGCACTCATTAGATTCTGGCTTGGATTGTTAAGTGGTACAGCTGGAGCTCGCTCTCCCAGCGTACTTGGTTGACTAATGGTGGCCCGCAGTTAATGAGGTTGTGATGTCATGATGTGGAGGAGGGACTCCAGAGGGCAGGCAGACAGGGAGTGTCGGGCTGTGTGTATCACGTGCTCGGCATCCCTTCTCCCCAGCTGCCTTCCTCAGGCAGGACCAGAGCACAGAGATGCCAAGAAACCCATGAGTAATGGGCTCCTTCGTCCTTGGAATGCACGGTGGCTGCCCTCCTATAGGCTGAGTGCGGTAGGCTGCCTCCATCCAGATGGGCTCCCTGATTTCAGTGGGGACAAAGGGACCCCAGAGTAGGAGAGACTGAGGGGCAGCACCTCACAGCCACGGGCAGGGTGGGCACACCTACTGTAAAGGGCAGTCAGGATGGCCCCTCGGGGTCTTTATTGGTGGATAACTGATCATAGTACCCCAGGAATGAAATAAGTGGTCAGCCTCCTGGAATAGTACTCCATCTATGGGGTCGTTGGGAAAGTCGTGACGTATTTTTGCATAGAAAACAGAAAAACATGTCATGGCTTTTCCAGCAACTTGATATATGAGAGCTTGTTATAGTTTGGAAAATGGCTTATCCTCCAAAGAATCATGCTTTGGCATCTGGTGTCGGGGAGTGGTATAGCCTGGTGGGTGCCAATTGGATTGTGCGAATTGCATCACGGAGACACCACTCCCATGAAGAGATTAATGGTGTCTCACGAGACCCAGTGAGATGTGGCTGTCAAGAGTAGGGGCTAGTTCTTGGGAGACCTGGTTGTTTTAAGAGAGCTTCCTACAGCTCACGTGTTCTCTGAACACATCTGCCATCCTCTGTGTTTTCAGTGGCTATCCTGGTGGCCAGCCTGCTGCTTGCCTATCCTTTCAGACTTCCAGCAGTCAGAATTGTGAGCCAATAAGCCTCTATCTCTTTGTCTGTTAGTATTATTATTTTTAGAGAGATTTTTGATATAGGGAGTGTGTGCTTGCTAGAGAGACAGAGAGACAGAAGCGAGAAATCACCCCCAGGTGGGATGGCCATGCCGCTATCTCTTCTCCTCCATCCTTCTCTCAGGATTTGGGGCAGGTACGCACGTGTGCCCATTGTGAGTTTGAAGCCACCGGGTCAGAGACTTGAACTGTGGTCAACTATTAAGTCATCTGCTGGCCCCAGACCTCTATTTCTTTGTAAATTATCCCATTCTCAGGTATTTCTGTTAGTAATGCAATGAAGGATCAAGACGGGGGGCTTCCAAAAGTTAAATGCATATTATGAATAAACTATGCATGGATTTCAATATTTGCCTGTTCCAAAATAAACTTGTTCCTTTTAAAAAAATTTCCACACACCCACTGACAACGGGAGAGAGAAGAATGGGAGAGAGAGAGAGCGTGCGAGTGTGCCACAGTGGGGCGTGGTCATTCTGCAGTCCCCTTTTCTCCATTTCTGCACCCCATCAGGATTTGGGGCACACATGCATGCCCAGTGTGTTTTTCAAGCCACCAGGTTCACTATTCAAATTATGGGCAGCCATGTGGGATCCAGCTTAATTGCTGTGCTCTAGAGCTAGTCCAAAGTTCTTAATTTAAGTGTGTTTATTTATTTCTTCCCTGAGAGAGAGAGAGAGAGAGACAGAGGAGAGAAAGAGTAAAGAGAAGTAGGCACTCCCAGCAGGGCCCCCATGCCATGTCCACCCTCGGTCTCAGCTGACTCAGGTCGGGGTACATGAATACATGCCTGGCATGCTTAGGGAGCTTCTGGGATGTGAACTCAGTACCTTTCCAGTCTGGGTCCAGCTGTATTCCTGCT